CCTCAGGGGTAAATTTTGTGGGCAAAGGAATCCCAGTCGCATTTTTACCACAGGAAGCCCATTTGACCTCAGTAATGACAGGGGGGTTGCGACCCCCCCGACCCTCCCCCTGGATCCGCCCTTGTAAAGCTTTATGGATTGAATTCAAAAGTAACCTTAAACATAGTATTATATGTGGTGTAATGTATCGACATCCACATAGTAACCTTGATGCTTTTCTTGATTATTCAAGACAATACAGTGAACAAAATTAATAGTGAAAATAAGTATTGCATAGTAATGGGAGATTTCAACATTGATTTGTTAAAGTCAAATTTTCATACAGATACTGATAACTTTCTTTATACCATTGAATCTTTAGCCCTCATATTCTTCAGCCTACTAGAATTACTGATCACTTTGCAACTCTCATAGATAACATCTTCTTTAATTCATTATCTCATCATACCATAAGTGGTAACATTTGTTATGATCTCACTGACCACTTACCAAATTTCCTCATAATAAAAAAGCTACATTATGTACCTAAGAATATTGAATTTGTTAAAAGAGACTATTCCAACTATAACAAATCTAGCCTAATTGAAGATATAGCATCTATTAATTGGGATAATTTATCACACTGTGATAATGTATCCAACATGTTTGATAGTTTTTACCAAAAAATATCAATTGTAGTTGATCAGAACACCTTCCACTGAAAAGGCTTAGTAAAAGGGAAATTAAACAGCAATCAAAACCATGGATAACAAAAGGTATCAGAACTTCCATTAGGATAAAAAATGATTTTTATAGAAAATTCATGAAAAATAAATGCAGCTATTACTATGATAAGTTTAAATTCTATAGAAACCATATAAATCCCATCATTACAATTAGTAAAACCAAATACTATAACAATTTCTTTGAAAACTCTAAATCTAACATAAGGAAGGTTTGGAAAGGTATAAGGGAAATTGTGGGATCTCCTAATAACCACACTCACCTTCCCTCTAAATTCATCACAGAAAATAACATTGAATTAACTGATAGTGAAGATATCGCTAATCATTTTAATATGTTTTTCAGTAATGTTGGTTCAAGCCTTGCCCAATCTATTCCTCCATCTAATAAATTAGCACTTGATTTTCTTCCAGATAAGGTACAAGAAACCTTTACTATATGTCCTGTAAATATACAGGAAGTTGAAGAGGAAATTGAAAGCTTAGTTACTAATAAAGCATCTGGTCCTTACAGCATACCATGCACCAGCATACTTAAGCTTGCTAAGAATCATATTACTGAACCTCTTACATTAATTATGAATACAAATCTTAAATAAAAAATAATCAAATAGAAATCTTTTTTCTCTGGGGTAGTCCCTGATTGCTTAAAAATTGCAAGTATAGTTCCTGTTTTTAAAAGAGGTTCCCAAATCGACTTTAATAATTATCGAACTGTCTCTCTTTTATCAATTTTCAACAAGATCTTGGAAAAATTATGTAGTAAGCAAAAGACTTATCAAATTTTTAAATGAAAAGAATATACTTAACAATAAACTGTTTGGCTTCCGTAAGCACCATAGTACTATTCATGCAATACTATCTATTGTAAATAATATCCAATGTGCTATAAAAGCTAATGAATATTCATGTGGCATTTTTCTTGATTTGAGCAAAGCTTTTGATACTGTTAATCATCAACTTTTACTCCAAAAACTAGATTATTATGGAATACATGGTCCTGCTGGAAAATGGTTCTCTTCTTATTTTTTAAATAGAAAACAATTTGTAACTTTAGGCAATACTGAATCTGAAATCTGTACAGTAAGTTGTGGCGTCCCACAGGGCTCAGTACTTGGACCAACACTCTTTCTTCTATACATAAATGACATAACTAACTCCTCTAAATTGCTCTCTTTTCACTTGTTTGCAGATGATAGTAACCTATTTTACTCTCATAAAAGCTTAAGTGAATTAGAAGCTATGATGAATGAAGAACTTGAAAGTATTTACTCATGGCTTTGTGCAAATAAATTGTCATTAAATATTGATTTTTGTCATTAAGTCCAATTTTATTATTTTCCATACCCCCCAGGAAAAGGTACATGATATTTCTATTAGTATTAGCAATATTCCCCTAAAGCAAGTAAATGAACTTAAGTAATTAGGTGTTATGCTAGACAGTAATATTAACTGGAAGGCCCACATCTCGTACATCTCTAGTAAAATCAAACACAGTGTTGGGATGATTTCTAAGTTGAGGCATTATGTCAACCTGGAAATTCTAACTTTGTTGTATTATTCTCTAATCTATCCATATTTGACTTATGGTATAATTTTCTGGGGACACACCTACAAATCAGCTCTAACTCCTTTAATAGTTTTGCAAAAGAAAGCTATTAGACTGTTAGAGGGTCGGGGGGGTCGTGACCCCCCTGTCATTCCTGAGGTCAAATGTGCTTCTTGTGGTAAAAATGCGACTGGGATTCCTTTGCCCACAAAATTTACCCCTGAGACCCCCCTTCAAAAAAACCCTGGATCCGCCCTTGGACTTATTACCTTCTCACATTATCTTGAACACACTGATCCCCTTTTTGCTAGTCTTTGTATATTGAAACTAGTTGATCTAAGTTATTTGTATACTGCAGCAATATTTATGTATGATTATCATGCTGACAACCTACCCTCAATTTTTAATAACTTTTTCTATCAGCCTCTAAAAGACATTCTTACAACACAAGATCGGCATCTAAATTGACTTTCGTGCTTCCTAAGACAAGAACAAATTATGGCTGAATGAACATCAAATTCATAGGTGCTAAAATTTGGAATTCCATTTTCATTAGAACTCTAAAGAATGAATTAATACTCATGTATAATTGAGTTGTTATTTTTTCCTCCTTGCTATGAATTTAATATCATGTGTTCACAATACAATAATTATATATAACATTATATAGTTAATTAACATCTTTTTGTTACTTACTTAGAAAATCAATAAGTSATATACATGTATATAYATAGAGGTATGTACATTCATAGTTTAACTATGGTATATATTGTATCTATATGGATACATAAGAAAGATGCTTTATATATATATATGTATACACTTAATATTAGCATGTAGTRCGTGTGCAATTTAATTTGTTTAGTTTGATCCATTAGATATTTTTCTCTTTTTTTTCTTTTCTACTTTTGTCCTCTTACTATATTTATAATCGATTTCATTAATTCAATCTAAACTAATGATACAGTCCTTGAATAGTTGAATTAACTGAATCCACTTSTGTTTTTTGCCTAGATAGTCATTATTTTGAGAAAAGATCCAAAAACCGTGTTTTTGAGACATAATTTGTATGGGCTCACATGAGGGGACGTGAGCTTGAAATCGTAGCTGACGAAATGTTAACAGATTTTTTCTGATGATTAGACTAATACACATTGGTAAACCGAAAAATATAATAATTAGCTATCGTTTTTCACATATTGAATTGAATCAACTTTCTTTCTCATTTATTATTTTTCCCCCCTTGTGTGTGCGTTTTTGTCACTCCGTCCTTTTCATGTGTGTCTGTGTGTGTCTTGGTGTGTCGTTCTCCCCTGGCAGCTTGTCTTGTTAAATCCATGTGTTCTGTTGCTGCAATTATATATTTCTCTATACATTTCCTTCTATAATTTTCCGGTTGACCCAGCCATTTAGCTCGACTAGCTCTGCTATTTCTAAATGGCTGGCGCCCATCTATTTATACATTATTATTTTATAAATTTTATTATTTATCAATCTATTTGACTTTTACACGTTGACTAGTATTTTTTATTTCACGGGGTAAATGCCTTCACTCTAACAATCTTTAGGCTAGTACTGGATATTTAGGGTTAAATAGTTTGACTTAAAAGTACCTAAAATTGGGGAAATCTAGGTTATGATGATACAGGAAGTGACATCATAGATTTTTGTAATCCGAGCAATGCAATTGATAACTACTATGCAATAATTAGTAATCTATGCCAAAGTTAGAAATGCTTGGTTAACTATGGTTTTCACAACAATGAATTAAGTTTAACCCTTGAGTTAGGAAAATTAATGATATTATGGAACAAATAAGTTGATATTACTGTGATTCCCAGTCACACGCGACCAACTAGACCTTCATCACAAACGAAAAATTGAATTTGGGTGGACGTCAATCAAAAGGGTTTCTATCGTTTCTATTGGCTTCTACACCAGGACTGATGTGAATACTCACGTGAACACGTGCAAATGTGCAAAAATCTTTGTCCTTATCTCATGCTTCTTGTAGCTGTGAATTTCTCACTCAAAAATGTCACAGGATTCYGGCTCCGAATCTTGACGCTTGATTGCAAAGCTATCGCTATGACTATGATTTGAGTTTCTTCAAGATAGGATAAGTCAATACTGATAGTTTGCAGTTAAACATTTGAAATTCGGAGTCGGAATCCTTAGACCCTGGGGGGGACTCCCCTATGAAAGGGGGCGGGGGTCCTCGTCGTCCCTTTTAGGGTTTGAAATCGGGGTTTTGGTCCCGCTTAGGGTGATAACGACGGGAATGCGCACCAACTGAATTTTATGGTCCCTTTTAGGGTATAAGATCTACAAAAAGACAAGCGATTTGTATATGAGAACGTCGTCATAATTTCGTTAGAGCAGACGGCGTTTGATGCAAATAAAATCGAGAAACCAAACAAAAAAATGCGTTATTGATTGGTCCCTCTTAGGGGTGAAATTTCATCACTGCCACGCCCATCATCCCAAAATACAGATCCCTTTTAGGGGTCATTTTCGGAATTTCCGACGAGGACCCCCGCCCCCTTTTATAAGGGAGTCCCCCAC